AACACAATCAGGATAGCTCAAGATTTAGCAGCTTCTACATTAAGGAAACAGAGGGCATGGAATATAACATTCTGGAGGGCAAAGGAGATAGGATTACAACCAAGAATCTCCTACACAGAAAAACTGAGCATAATCCTTCAGGGGAAAAAATGGTCATTCAGTGAAATAGAGGACTTTCAAGCATTCTTGACGAAAAGACCAGAGCTGAAAATGGTGGCCAGGACAAATAGTCATCCCTTCTCTGCTCAAAGATATCCAATCAATTATTCTTAATGAATAAGTCTATACATTAGAACAGAATACAGCAAAACCTGGGTTAAAATCCTATCTCTGACACTCAGTAGATATGTGACCTTGGGCATATCTCTTATCATCCCTGGACCTTGTTTGTAAAGTAAGGGGGTTGGACAGGATGTTGTCTTAAGTTCCTCTATCTCTAAATCTCTAAGCCTGGGACCCCCCAAAGAGACAGTTCATTTCTGTACAGTTGATTAAAAAGAATTGTTTTTTCCCTCATATGAACCTAGAACTTGCTTCCATACAACTTCCTTCCAAAGGTGCTCATCACTTTGTATTCCTTCCATATAAGACCCGATCCCTCGCCAAGAACGAACCCAAAGAAAACACATTTACTCTAAAGTACAAAATCACACACAGTTTAATGAGATGGAAGAAATGCCATGTAAACCAGTCTCTTTCCCTCTCTCCTTCTTTGTCCACTCATCATCTCCTGAAATAATCCAAGTGTCCACACAGAGCAGAACCATGGAACATGAAGTCACAAGAGTTTCACCCCCACTGTATTATATCTTGCAGAGGGGAAAACTGAAACTCATACGGAGGGACTCAACCAAGGTCACACAATCAGCCAGTGGTACAGCAGAACACCAGAAGCCAGGTGTCCTGACTCCTAGTCCAGGGCACTTTGCTCTGTACCCTGCAGCTTCTAGGGCACTCAGAGGGGCAGAGAAGGAGAGATACCTCAGGGAAGGAGGTATTTGAAGAAGGCAGCATGAGTCCAGGGTGATGGGGAGGATTAAGAAATAGTTCCATTGGTTTCCCAGAAGACATGGAGGCTGGAATTATGGCTGAAGGTAATGATGTGATGAAGAAAGACAAGGAGGAATTGGGCCAGAAGATCACTGGATGTGCTGATTGATCCAGTCCACAAAGGCTGCGACACGAGTGAGGACGCCAGGTCGATGAGGAACAGCACAAAACTCTCCCCAGCTCACTATACCAGCCTGGAACCAGCAGCCCTGCACCTTACAGACCAGGGCTCCCCCTGAGTCACCCTGGAAGACAAAAGAGGCCATTAGAATGGCCCCAGGGACCGAGAATACACAAAACACCAGGAATCCTAAATTCAATCTAGAGTTAGGGGAAGGGCCTCACAGAGGAGCAAACACAGAAAGCTTCTCACCTGACAAGGGCCCCTGCCAGCTTCACCAGCACAGATCATGTTATCAAGAATAAC